TTGAATACTTAACACAACGCGCTTCCTTTTACACCCTGACATTTTGCTAACGCACTTGAAGATCGATACAAAGAGACTAACTGGGGCGGTGTATCTGTCCTTGAAACTTTCTACAAATCCTTGAATTCTTTCATCCCTAACCTAGAACATTGTGTTAGCGTAACGGGACCAAAAATGTAGAGCTCGGTTCACAATAGCGCGAAAATAGTGTTACAACTCACCATGTGAAACAAAAGTGAATGAATATCAAACAACATATAAGCCTCAAAAAAGATCCGGTAGCTCCGGTTAAGCCGCAAACCGGTTTATCCGCCCCCGGATAATCGAGACTTGAGTGTAATATGCTGTCCTCTTAAGTGAAAATCTGATGCAGTGGTATGAATTTAATGTCCTAAAACACAAAAATGAAGTTCATTCCTTGGGGTATATTACATGTAGGGTCAATTATCAGTATCAGATATCAGTCTTCATGACCCTTATTCTCTGAAGTGATTATTGATTTATTTCTCCGTGAATCTACCTGTTAAAATTATAATTTATGAAATTAAAAGGGGAAAACTTTGATATAAGCATAGCTTATAATAATATCATAAATACATGATTCCCAGTGTTGCATGGTTCATTTCATAAAAGCAGAAATGGTTTTACTTTAGACCAATACCTTATCTGTGTCACACTGATGTAGTACAAATAAATCTAACTAAACTTACTTCAATTATACACATTAAAATCTGTATGTTGAATTAAAATCAGAGACACAACTACAAATTATACCTGAGGGCATGTGAAATAATTTAGTCTGTAAGAAATCTACCATCTTATCAACGCAGTACACCTCAACAAAAGAGTAAACATCTCCGAGCTACCTAACCTAACGAGTTACAAACATGCGCACAAAAAAGTACTAATTTTCATCACACATTATTTACAAACCAAAAGAAACAAATAAAAAGACTGCTGTTGTAATAATTTTCACAGATTGTCATCCACTCTGTCAACCCTCCCTTCCTGTGCTCCCCTTAACCTAACCTATCCCTTCCAACTGTGATTGGTTCCTTCAAACATAACTTGAATTTATAGACCAATATAAATTAAGCCATGGATCCAAAATTTATCAGTTCAGAAACACTATTCTATAGAATCATTTATGCTTGTGGACCCACCTAACTCTGAAGTGGACCTCATGAATACAAATACACAAAATACATCCACTTCTGGGACATTTTTAATTCTGACAATTTCTGTTTCTCATAGTTATACTTGCATACAAGGTGTGGCAATAAAGAAACCGGATTCATGCTCTAACCCTTTATTAAAAAAAAATCAGACAGTCGAAATGTTATCCCCTTCAATGTAGTCCCCTCCCCGATCCCTACACCGCTCCATGCGAATTTTCCACTGTTGGAAGCAGTGCTGCAGGTCATCTTGTGTTATGCTCTTCAAGAGTTGCGTCGCTTTTGCTTTCACTGCATCCACGGACTCGAACCTGGTCCCTTTCAGCGCAGACTTGA